ACGTATTTCATAGAAGGGCACCACTCTAGGTATACCGATACTAGACTTTCATTCTTTCATTCATTCACATACATGACAAGGGTGCCTAAGCCCACCAAGTCAAGAGACCACATATTCACATAACTTTCATGTATCAAGAAGAGGGACTTAGGTTTACTAAATCAAGTCACTACATTCATCATTTCACGTATTCAACATCATTCAAGTACCAAGTTAGGAAAACTAGGTCTACCAACACAAGATACAACATTATGCAATAAGGACACTTCTTAGTCCTTCATTACCATATAACATCAATTAGAGAAGAATCATAACATTAGCACTCATACAAGATCACATAGACATCACATGAGTACTTCACTTTATACCTTCACATTAAACAAGACCACACATGTATCACATCATCACTTCATTATATATACATACATATAAGTCATAACACCTTATATATAGCCACATTGCTTCATATAATCAACTTCACATTATACCTTCATATAAGTACTAACATGATACTACTACAATTCATATAATAATACCGACAAGGCCATGATCATCGCATATTCAACATATTAGCACAGCCACCATAAGTGCACCATACCAACAAATAGCAATTCTATATCAATTTTACACTAAACTAAGGGAATTAGGTCAACTTACCTTCTTCTAATATCCAAGATAACTATTCCTTAAAATCTCCAACAATTCACAATATAATAGAACAATTCATCATAGAAATCAACATTACAACATAACATAAACTCAATTCTACCATCATTAGATCATAAGCAACTAACCCACTTTATAGCCAAATTTTTTAGAAGATCAAGAGTTCATGGAGATTTTCATTGGAAAACATCAATTATACATCAATAACATCATATCTCACTGTTTGAAAATGTTTCATGCGAGAACCCATGACTTAGAGGGAAAATTGGACTTTTTCATAAACTTTGAAATCTTTGAAATCACTTTGAAATTGACTCTAAGATGGTAGGTAGCCTTAGATAAAGAACTCGCATACGTATTAGAAGAAATCCCATGAGAATTGAATAAGAAATCTTTTGAAACGAAATTGTAGCTCCACCTTCATCTTCATCTTCTTCCTTGACTGTTTTAGAGGGTTTTGGGAGATAAGGATTTTTTATTTGGGTTTTTTAAAATAATGAGTTGAAGACTAGTTTCAAGACTTAAAAATGTTTATAATAATGATATAAACCTATCAAAATCAACCCCACTTAATAAAAAGTTAAAACCAAATTACTCAAATGCCCCAACTTTAAGCAGCCCGCCCGGGACTACGCCCACACACGGACTGTGAAGGTGGTTCACAGTCAAGTTGACGGCTTGTGGTCCTTAGGGCAGTGGCCAATTTGCCTTTACAAGCCTACAAGAGGCTAAGTAATGTCCACGACCTCCTCCACAGACCGTAGTCAAGTCCACTGGCCGCGAAGTGGTCTGTGAACTTTGAGGCAGTGAACTACTAACTTGGGACAACCTTAGTTTTTTGGCTAAGGCTTGTCCCTTTTGGCTTGGCTTTTTTTCAAGCACTTTCAACCAACATACACTAGGGTACTTTAGCCTCGAGTTAGACAAGTGCCTTGACGTTGACCCACTAAACTCATTCAAACAAGACACACAACCATAGACACACACAAGCACATAGATGACTAGTCGTTGAATGTCTTTATCGTTCCTTAATGTTTGACTTCAAACTCAACCCAATTGACTTAAAAACTCATATACACATTAATTAAGCTAGTTAACAGCCCTTAAAACACAAGTGAAGCTCTAGTCCAACCTAGTTCATTATGAGGGTCATTACATGTCTCCCTCCTCTTATTCCTTTATGTATCCTTTCTTTATGTGGATAGTGTCCAGGTTCTCAGTTTTCAATTTAACTTAAACGTATTGACTGCTGATTTTGTTATGCTTATGAAATGGAATCCTGGTTTGTTGTGGCTAAATTTTGTTGCTTCCTGGCTTAATAATTATGTTTATGTTATCCTTGACTATGATCTCACTTATCAATCTTACATATTTTGTTTGTTTATTGAACTGCTTTTTATGATGCCAAAAGGGGGTATCAATTGGAGGTGTTCAGATGATGCTTAGGTTGATGAGAGTGACGATAGGGGGGAAGGAAACAATAGATAAATAATGAGTAAGTCTACTCGGTAGAGGGAAGAAAAATGCAGGCACCAGTGTATGGTTGTCATCATCAAAAAGGGAGAAAATATTATTTGTAGTTTTGATGATTTAACAGGGAACTGGTCCATGGTGTAATAAATCTCTACTGTCAGGTTGAAAAAAGGTACAAGTGGTTGGTACACAGTCTCCAACTGATGATAAGACAAATCCAGGGACCTTCTCAAAGGATCTGGTCCTTCATTCAACGTACTCCTTACTGCTAGGATGGAAAAAGTACCAACCTCCAACTATGGCAGAAAGTGCAGAGACCTCGACCAATGGCGTGGTCTCGAAGGTTGTGACTATTCTTCGTTAACCTAATGTCCAATAGTTACAACCTTAGTTTTTGCAACTTGAAAAACCTTTCAAGAACTCTTGCAACGGCTGATCGAAATGTTAAGATTCATCCTCAAGATCAAACTCGAATAAGATAGAGCAGCAAGCTTGGTGGTCTTATGATTTATTCTTCTGAACATATATTGTAAATCTGATCTTAAATCTATAAAGGAATCATATAGTTGTTTGGTGCTACATTCTAAATTAGTTAGAGTTAACTGATTTAGTGGGTATTGTTGTATCTGCCTAAGGAAAATCTAAATCATCTAGAGTTAGGTGGTTCAGTGGGCGGTTTTGTATCCACTTTGAAAAAGTCTAAGTTATCTAGGGGTGATAGATTAGTGGGCGGTGTTGTATCCGCTTAAGCTCTTCAAGTAGTAGGTAGATTACTAGTTCGTGAAAATAATAATGTTTTCTCACATTGGTTGTAACTGGGTTCACTTTTGCTTGAGGAAGATTAGTGGAGGAGTTGAAAATCCTGTGCAACATGTCGTGGTTTTACTCCCTTGAGCAAGGAGGTTTCCACGTACACTACTTCTGTTGTGTTATTATTGTTATTTACTTTGCAATATCTTTAGAGTTCAATCAAGATACCTGGTCCTTGACTGGTAGAGGACGCACGCATTCTACTAAGGTACAAACAATATTTATGCTTGAAAGAGAGGTGAATAGGTTGGCCTTATGAATTTGTTCTTAAAGAAAATATGCATATATGTAAATAGTAATAAAAAATTTATGTTTATTAGATGACAAAATAACTAATTGATTGTTGCATTATAGTTTGATCGATTTCTACAATAAGCAACCAATACCAACATAGGAAAATGCAACAACTAAATTTGGGAGTTTATTTAAAATCTATAACAAACACTATAGATTCATCGTTCTCAATAGTGTAGTAATTCAAACTCAATTATTAGTTCATCATAATCTTATGTTGGGTTGTCAAATTTTAGCAGAATATATAAATATATAACAATCAGTCGACAGAATATATAAATATGTATCAATCAAGAACGGTGTTGTGAATAATTATTTTTGAACAATTAATTAAGAATGATTAAAAAAATTTCACAAGAATATGAAAGGGAAACTCCAAAATTTATTTTTTTCACATAGTAAATCCCATTATTCAAACAAGATGTCAGATCGTATACAAAAGAGAAACCATCAAAAATCATATTTAAGCAAGAGGTCATATCAAACACACCAAAAGAACTTGAGGAAAGTATCTTCATATAGATAGATCGAATGATAAAGTTAAGAAAAAAAAAGAGGTTGACCACCAGTGGACGTTCAATTTTTGGATTTAATAATTTGGTAATTGGTTATTAAAAGTAGATATCAAATATAAAAAAATTCAATATTTATTCAGTAATTTGGTATTAAATTTTGGTTTGGTACAATATCCGGTAACACCATATTGAAGTTATAGCCGATTGGATTACAAAGTTAATTAATATTATTTCTCCAATCACTTTTATTTTTTATGTGGAGACACGATATAATAAAAAATGAACAAGTAAGAAAACATCAAGAAAAGAAAATTGATACAACTAAAAGACATTTGTATTTGGATTGTTCATGTTTATTCTGTAACTTTCTCTTTGTACTTGTAGTAATGAGTAATGAATATGTTGATGTATGACCTTCAATAAGTAAATAATTTGATATTCGAAAAATATCAAATACATAATAGTAGTAATGTCTCATACAAAACTCACACCAAAATACTATAATTCTTAAATTTAATCTCAAATACCATACCAAAAATTGAATTACTGAATACCAAATTACGAAAAAATTTTATTCAATTCGATTAGTTGATTTTCGATATTTTATGCACATCCTACTTTTAGATTGTTTTATATAGTAGTAAAGTAATATTAGTATTCCTTTACTAGTCTCTTTTACCAAAAATAATTTTTTTATTTTTGTTATCAATTTAGAAAATAAAAAAAGTTATTATTCTCTTTTAATATTATTTTTATCAATTAATAACTACACAAAATACTAATAGTCAGATAAGATTTTCTGAGATACGATTAATATTAGATAATTTGGTAATGTGAACCTTTAATATATAATTTCTCAAGTAAACTATCAAATTGAAAGAGGACAAGTAAAAAAAAAAGAATTAATAATAAATATGAAAATCTTTACAATGATAAAAATATAGCTAATAATAGTTGTGTGAGGCTTTATTGTTTGTTTTGACATTTGAATAATGGGTCCATTTTCATACCTTTTTACCAACCCTTTCCAACTCACCCCCTTTTCTTGTTTTTTCCTCCTAACAAATACTCAATTCTCAACTAAATACATTTAATAAGAAAAATGTACAAAATTAATATATTTTTTGTTAAAATAACTGAAACATTATAAACTTATTGTTTGATATTTGTTTATAAAATAAAATTAACTCAAAACACGAACTAATTTAATTTAGAATATAAATTGATTAGATAATATTATTTATAATAAATATTATTTATTTATTTAGGTGTCATGTAATAATTAATAAAGGAAAAATTATAAATATACCCTCAAACTATCACAAATAATATGTTAATACCCTTCGTTATACTTTAGGGTTGTATATACCCTAATTGTTACTCTTTTGGGTTGTGTATACCCTTAAAATTAACGGGTGCATACGTGACTTCATCCCAACCATTTACTCGATCTTATTTATTTATTTAGCTAAAATTAAAAGATTCACCCATTTTTCGTAATTTACCCACTCATGACCCAAATTAAAACACCATAACATTTAAAAAGATACATAAATAAAAAAGGAGCCCTCTTCCATTAAATCATAACCCAGAACCTTTTAAATCAAACTAAAGACAAAATTATTCTTCATTATATTTTCATTTCAGATCTATTTTAATTTGTTGTTGAACGGAGTTGGAAATGCTATCACCATTGATGGACAAAACTTCTGGTTTAAAAGTGAGTCCTCAATTGAAACAAAAATTTTGAATTTAAATTGATTTATTGTTATTAAAAGGAGTTGTAAATACTACCAACATTGATGGACAAAGCTTCGAGAAAAGTGGGTTTCAAATCAACTAAGAAAATTTAAACTTAAATAGATTTGTTGTTGAAATGGGTTAAAAGTATTACCATAATTGACGGATAAAGCTTCAAGCTCTAAATTGGATTTTTATTTTTCTTCAGTTCTGCCATTATGGCGAGCTCCAAGCTCCAGCGAAATTGAAGTCTGACAAAAGTGGTAAACAATACAGTCAACAACGAATAGATTTCAGCAACGGAGAAAAACCAACAAACCAACGACCAGCTTCATCTCCAGCCAAGTGAATTGAACCAAGTCCACCATATTTTTGTGGTTGTTGGAAAGTGTTTTTATTTTAATATTGCTCAGAATTTGAAAATATTCTTACAATCTATTTGTGTTGTGAGGATGATTAATTGTTTTTTTCTTTTTGTAACTTTAAGAAGGATACATTCATGAGCTTATTCCAGATTAAGTTTTTTTTCTCCTTTTTTGTTAAGCAAGGAATCAATGATATTTTCTACAAAAAAAAAGATAGGGTATTTGATTGTGGGTCAGGTGGGTCTTTTAATTATGGGACGGGTTCATAGGGAGAATTGTTAGTTTATGAATTAAAAATAGTGGTCAAATGCGTAGTTGATTAGGATTAAGATACGTGTACAGAAGATCTAAAGTATTACGAAGAACATAGACGTATCATTTAGCAAAGTTTGAGGATAAATTTGTCATTATTTAAAAGTATATATTGCCACAGATTATCATATGTAGTAGCATATGACTTGAATGTTGCTACATATAATCATTTGTAGCAACATATACTTTTAAATAATGATGTGGGAGAGTGCTTTTATATAAATTAGATGTGGCAACATATACAACAAATGTTGCTACAGGCGAATCAGTTGTAGCAACATATGACTCAAATGTTGCTACATCCAATCATCTGTCCCAATATACTTTTCACTTAATGATAACGTGGGAGTGTGCTATTAGATAATACCTTTTGTTTAATAATTAGGACTCTTCAGTTCACTCTATTGAAACATCATATCTCGCAACATTTAAAAAATTGTTGGCCTTTATAAGAACACAAGAAGGGGGAGATTAGTCAAAAGTTGTATTTTCTTCTTCTCTTCTTCTTCATTCTCAAAAATGGCTTCAACTAGTTTAAACCTCTTGGAGTTTCTCCCGACTGAACTAGTAATTCTTATCGTTAGAAGGGTTGCTTCCTACTCTCTAGAAGATTTTGTTAGTGTTAAATTATGCTCTAGGTTCCTCAATGAAGTTGGTAATGAACGTTTTATATATCAGAAGGTTACATTGGCCAGCTTTCCCACTGAACCAAAATGGACAACGAATCAACATGTCGTGTCTTTCATGAATATTTGCATAGCATCGGAGAACTTAGAAACCTTATACAGAAAAGACGTGGTAACTTTACTGTTTTTAGTTCTTTTTCACCTTGCATCAGTTTATTTGTAATCTTAATGTGTTGTTTCTTTTATACTTTGATTTTTTCAATTGTAATGATCCAACTGCACTGAGAATGGTTAAAAAGGCAGTAGAAGGTGGCCACCGTAGTGCAGAGTATGTGCTTGCCGTAATTTCAATCTTTGAAGGCGGTATTTCCATGAGAGAAGGCTTGATGTACATTGTCATCATGAAAAAAAAATATGTCAGTAATAGTGAGAAGATGTCGACACCATTTGCGATGCATTTTAAATCGAATGTAGGTGCAAGAACCTAATATTTTGGATGTAAGAATCATTTGTTGCACTGTGCATCAACCCCAACAAAATGCCCGCAGGATTGGTTGGCCTAGAGGAAGTAATGATGAAGACGATATTCGTTGCGAATTGTGTATTTGTGATTTAGAACTAGATTATCGAGTTAAATTTCTTCCGCATACTACTGTGTGGGAATAATTTAATTTAATTTGTGTTGAAGACGATGTTGATTTTATTATTTTTTTGTATTTATTTTGAATTATGATATAATAAATTATGGTCGTACACAACACTCTCCATTGTTATACCTTATTATTATTGATTATTTATATTCTAAATCACTAAAATATAATTCAAATTTCCATTTTTTTCTTTCCTAAATCGATCAATTCGTCTATTAGTGTCTCCTTGACTTTTTATCAATAGCAACATATGCAGTTTCTGTTGTTAAATTTGTAACATATAACCAAACTATTGCAACATATAATTATAACAAATGACTCTTTTGGGGTTTAATTCAATTAAATTTTCACGTAATTCGGTATGTAACACCAATATATAGTCCTACAACATGTCTAATAAATTATGGTCGTTAACAACACTCTCCATTGGATTATAGCAATTATATTTTTAAAGACAATCATCTTACTAGTCATCATACATTGTCCTAGTAAATCCATATGACAGTCATATGACACCCTTCTAAATCGTTGTTCCAAATGTTATACCTTATTGTTATTGATTATTTATGTTCTAAATCTTTAAAATTTATTTCCATTTTTCCTTTCCGAAATCGATCAAATCGTCTATTAGTGTCTCCTTGATTTTTCATTTGTAGCAACATCTGTAGTTTCTGTTGTTAAATTCGCAAAATATAACCAAACTGTTGCAACATATAATTATAACAAATGACTCTTTTGGGGCTTAATTCAACTAAATTGTCACGTAATTCCATAAGTAACACCAATATATAGTCCTACAACATGTCTAAGTAACAAATTATGGTTGAAACACAACACTCTCCATTGGATTATAGCAATTATATTTATAAAGACAATCATCTCACTAGTTCATCATACATTGTCCTAGTAAATCCATATGATAGTTATATAACACCCTTCTAAATCGTTGTTCTAAATGTTATACCTTATTATTATTGATTATTTATGTTCTAAATCACTAAAATTTGGATCATATTTTCATATTTCCTTTCCTAAATCGATCAATTTGTCTATTAGTGTCTCCTTGATTTTTCATCTCTAGCAACATATGCAGTTTCTGTTGTTAAATCCGCAACATATCACCAAACTGTTGCAACATATAATTATAACAAATGACTCTTTTTAAAAAATGGTCCAATGATAGGCAAAGCCCAGTCTTTTTACAAAAAGTAAAATAGGTCCAACCCATTCTAGAATACGTTTTCGTTTTCATTTTCATTTCAAGAATAGGGTTTTCAAATTTTTCATCTTTGCTGCTTCAGTTTTGGCGCCTTTTTCACTCTCTATCTCTCCTGGGATGTCCTAGATAGGACATGTCGCTTCACATTAAATGTAATGATCTTATTTGATTTTTTTGTCAGTCACACTGTTCTATATTTGATTCGCCTTTGGTTAAATCAAATTTTGGTACTCCCATGGTATGATGTCAAATGTTACACTAAGTCGAATTTGTGATAATGAAAATGATACTATGTTAAATGTTAAAATGTATCGTAAACATGAAGATCTACTTTCAATGCAAACTTCGTGGTCAAATAGAATCCAGGTCGCAGATTTTGGTCTTGTCAACGATATCGTATATGTATGTTGATTTCTAAAATATTTGGACATTTCATATCTCTTTTTTTAATTAAAATTTATTTCTTTGTGGTATTTTAGGAGAATTCATGCAACTTCTTTAGATGGAGGGATCGTGAAGATGTTGATATACGATCCAAGTTCATTATTCTCCGATTAGCGAACAAAATTAAAGAGTTGGACACTATTAATGAAAGTCATATCAAAAGAAATAGCGAATAGGGGATGATGGAGAAGAAAAAGACCAAATATTGTAGCATCTGGATGTTAATGTTGGTGTTCTTTATTTTTTTTCTTGTATTTTTAAACATTACCAAAAAGAATTTTGTAGAGGATACAAAATTATTATGTAGTAATGTACAACCAATACAATTATCATAGTTGTGAAATTAAATAGACGTAATTTTGCACTCCTGATCAAATAACAAATTATTATGTAGTCGTGACGGACGAATGTTGCGATATACGCTTCAGTTGTAGCAACATATGACTCAAATATTGCTATATATAATCAGTTGTAGCAACATATAACTCAAATGTTGCTACATAAAATCATCTGTAGGAACATATGAGTAAAATATTGGGGTAGACATTCGGTATTTCGGTTCGATTTCGGTTTTTTCAGTTTTTTTGATTTTGTAAATTGCGTACCGAATACCGAATCAAAATATTTCGGTTCGGTTTGATTTTTGTTAATTCAATTCGGTTTTTATTAATTCGGTTCAGTTTTTTATTTCGATTTTTTAATGGGCCTATTTAGTGGGCTTTTTAAAATTTTAAACTTTACAATTTTTTCAATTTTTTGTTTGATTTTTCAACTTAATGGGCTAAAAAGTAAAAATATACAATAAATCAAAGAAGTGCATTACTAATTTACTACAAAATTTCAATATATCAATGATTCAAATCTTCAATATGTCATTAGGCATTAACACCGCAAATTTTAAATTCACAATATCACTAAAACATACAATTTGAAATTCACAATGACACTAAAACAAAAGTTGCATTGTAGATTTATAGTTAATGTCTTCACAAATACAACATAATAACAATCTAACAAGTAACAATAAAGTCTTTCATGAGCTCATAATAAACAATAATAAGCAACAAACAATATATTTTAAACTTTTTGTCTTCTTCCATGAGATTACTTTCAACAATAACAAACAACTATAATGAGTTTCTTGACTTTCTTCCATGAGATCGCTTTCAACTTTCAAGTGTCATCTGCCAACAAAATTATTTCTTCATTGTCTTGACCCTTGGACCTTTTAAGATAAAATCAAATATTAGAAACTTAGAATACTACTTTTAAGATTAAAAATTATATGATTAAATAAATGATGTATGTCAATCATAGATCAACAATGGAAGAGTTTCTTCCACTATTTGACATCTCTATAATTAATAAAAAGAAACATGTCATACAAGATACAACACAATAAGTATTTTATTTTTTCCATAAATAAATAAAAAATAAAAAGTCTTACCAAGTTCAATTTTTTCAAGAAACTCCAAATTTTCTTCAACACAAATAGGCTTGGTTTCTTGTCTAAGCCAATCTTGGACACAAATAAGACATTGCACACATTTGGGAGTCAATGAACTTCTAAAGGGATCTAGAATTCGACCACCGGTGTTAAATGCACATTCCGATGCCACACTTGACATAGGAATAGCCAATACATCTCGAGCCAACTATGAAAGTACTGGAAATCTAGGAGAATTAACTTTCCACCAACTCAAAATATCAAAATCTTCAGATTCAGGTTCTTGGTCTTCAAGAAGATATTTATCCAACTCAGATTTAACAACTAAACTTCCAGAATCATTCTTTTGTTTCTTCATGTGAAACTTAGTTCTCAAAGAATTTTTGGACATATTTTGAGAAATACCACTACCAGAAGAATCAGATGAATCAGATGAAGATGGTTGACTTTTT